AAAATAAAACACTTATTGTTTTCATCGTAATATCAATCCATTTTAACTACAATTATTATTAATAAATTTTGCTTAATTGCTTTGCAAACCCCACTTGTAATCAACAGATTTACAATAATAAAAAATCATTTTTTGATGAAGAAACTTTTGCCTTTGTAAAAGGAATTCTGTGTTGATTAGCCTTGTATGCTTTTTTTTTCCAAGTGACTTCTATTACACATGTATTGTAGATTATATTTTTATCAGAGAATTCGGAGGTAATATTTAGTAGCCTAACTCCAGTGGGTATTGATATTTTGGATTATAAATTATTTTTTTAAAAACAATTTTTTTTTTTTAATGTGATAAACATGTTTTAAATGTCTTTTTCAATAAATTTCAGTCCATTAATATACCATGTTTTTCAGGGGCATTGATTCAATCTATTATTACATTAATTACATAGAAAACCCCCCTTTAAAAAAAAAAACTCTTATATATTTGTATGATCTTGGGAAATCTTGGGAAATTTGTTCACCAAATCTTGGGAAATTTGAAAAAAGTGAGTGGCAGCCCTGGTTACGACTTTCAAAATTAAGATTTTTATTGACACAAAAAATACAAAACAAAATATGGTCATAAGAATGCACCTCATATCATAACATAAGTCGTAATCATAATTGAATAATATTAATCATAATAATAATATTCATAACGTCTCAGTCTGATGAATCTGTGAGAGTTTTTAGAGATAAATACTTTGGTAACCATCATTAACCATGCCATACGTCTTTAATCTTTAAGTTTAAGACTTAATGTCTTTAACTTTAACTTTAGCATTGTCTAAAACTAAAAGTTTAAAAGTCAAAAAGTCAAAAACTTTTACTTTTGTTAACAATTACTAATCCTCGTCTATAATCTATAAAAATGAATGTCCAGTAAATTTGGAGAGAGAGAGCACCGTGGCCGCCAACTTGGTTGCCACCCTGAACCCTTAAAATATGTCCCTAAAACTAAATGCCTAAACTCTATATCCCTAACTAAACTTACCCCTAACCTGGGTTTTGACCCTATCTGAACCAGGGACAAAATGCGCAAATGATGTCAGTGCCAGGGTGCTATCCCTCCAAATTTGCAGAATGTCCTAAGTCCAGTGACCAGTTTATAATAAAAACAATATTTTAAACACTGTTTCAGTTTCATCAAAGTCTAACTAAGCAACTTTTTATAATATTATGTTATCAGTAATAAGTTATCATGTTAAATTTAAATAATTATTTTTATTTGTATCACATTCCACATAAATATATTATATGGCCGGCACTACATACACCGCGGCGGTGTACCTAGCGAAACTATTGACTTGACTTTGGCCTGCGTACACCGCGGCGGTGTACCTAGCTAAATCATTGACTGTGGCCTGCATACACCGAAGCGATTTAAAGTAGCAAAACCACGGCCTTTGCGAGTCTTAAACTTTTTGGCCTAACTGGTACTTGTAGATTTAATGTTATACTCTTGTTAAAACTGGAAACTATTTATTTAAAATCGTTGAGTACCTTGGGAGGAAGCTTTTGAGTAAGTTCCACGCTTATAATTATAACTTATGTGGCAAAGTACTTGTAGAGCATTTCTTCTTATTTATTGGAAGGGAGGGGGCTGGGGGTGTAATGTTAAACCATGATTTATTTTTAAAGTTAACCACTTTATTTCCCCCCATATATTGAAATACAATTATATTTATTAATTGTTAAAGTTTTATCCTATGATTGTGAATCTTAATAGGCATAAAAAGGGTAGCTAATTTGAAATTATTCTCCCCCCCAAATTGGTGTTGTTTTTTTTTGGGGGGGGGGGGGCATGATAATTATAACATTGTATGTGATCCCTCAGGACGTGGTGTAAAAATGAATGGGAAGCCAGTGTATAAATTTTGTTAGCACAAAGATATAATTACGCCACAAATACATTACGGGAAGAAAATCACATACAGTGATCATGAAGTTGTGAAGTTAAAGTTGTCTGAGGCATTGTCATTGTGATATCAAGCGATTGTCAACACAAAAAAATAGTATGATGATCAATACGAAACACTGCAGTGATTTTTAAAAGTCTTTTAACAATAATTAAATATCTTTGAATTAGTTTTACATCGGTATTACACATTAGTAAATACAAGGCCGGCGGACATCAGCACCCCCCTCTCCGGGTTGTGGGGGGATTGAAAAGGTAGGTTTCTTAGCAAAAAACAACAAATAAAAAAACTTTGAAATAGCGCAAATCCTGTCCCAAGCGCATTGTGCAATGGTTTATGTGAGAAAACGTAGCGTTTTACCTGAGAATAGCACATCCCATGCCCTTCTGGAAACACGACCATGCACATTAATATTCATATGATATTGATAAAATGGTATTTTCTTTGGGTGTTCGTAAAGTAAAATGTAAATATTCAACTAAAAGAAGAATGTTGAAATACAATACAATATCAGTTAGTATTCAAAATTTTTCTCTTATACATGTTACATTCATACACTATACATGCTCTTTCAGAAACTTTCAGTTTGTTTTCTAATGTCATACTCATATTACTAATATTACCAGTATTTTCAAAGTCAAAGGCCGGCACAACTTGTTGAAACACTTAATAATCAGTTAATAATATGAATATAACATACATTTAATTTAAATTGTTTAAATTGCTATAAAATATTTAAAAACATCTAAGGAAACTACTGTTGCAAATGAACATGATAATTTAAATATAAAATATTTTTAATTTAAATGGGAAGAAAAAAACCTCGATCCCCTACTGGGAATTGAGCTCAAAATATAATATCACCACTCTACCACTTGACCACACAAGATCTTATCTAACAGGCTTTTCTTAAAACCAGGCGAATGATAAATTTTTGCCGCGGTGTACCCAGGCCAAAGCCCACGATTTGGCTAGGTACACCGCAGCGGTTTACGCAGGCCAAAGTCGATGGTTTTGCTAGGTACACCGCCGGGGTGTACGCATCCACTTCGATATTATATTCATTTGAAATTAGTATGACCCAAAACGGTTTTAATCTTAGTTCAATACCACTATCCAGCTAAGACCTTAGAACTAAGATAGATTAGGCCTAAACTTACACACTGTACACTTAATCATAAGTATAGGAGTCATCAGTCGATCAGATCAACTCACTTTATAAAAAAAAAAAAAATTTCCTTAAGTCAATGATTATGATCAATAATTCAATAATCAATTCAATGCCATGAAAAATAAAATCTTCTATTTAAGCACTCTGTGTCATTCTTTTCTCATTATAAACTGTTAAACATATTACAGCTGACATAATTATAAAGATGGCACCAATATCTCCATTTGGAAATAAAACTGTCATTACAGTTTGTTGTAGTTGTAAGTATTAAATTTAGAAAATTGCAATTGTCAATAGATTATAGATCAATACTTTTTTTTTTTTTTTTTTTTTTTTAGAAAAAAACCTAAAATAATTATATAATTTAAAAATTAAAAAGTCTTGCATAGGGCCTACTGTTAAAAATTTTTAAAAAAATTTTTTTTTTTTTTTTTTTTTTTTTTTTTTAGAAAAGAACCTAACATAATTATATAATTTAAAAATTGAAAAGTCTTGCATAGGGCCTACTGTTCAAAAGTGTTTAAAAAATTTTTATAACTGGGTTCATTGATGCTTAAGATTATTATTATTTGAAAATTCTCCTTTTTTCTTTTTTTTTCCTGTTTTTTTCCTGTTTTTTTCTGTTTTCATTAGAACAAACCCCCACCCCCTTTAAAATAAAATAAGTGCAGTATTAAGGACTATTTTCCCACATTGCTGATATTACTGATATGTTTTATAATTAATTTCTATCATAAAAGAATAACTATAAAGCTAATGTGATGGCTATTTCTATTTTATTATTTTATTTTTAAAATCCCAATGTTGTCTAAGGAAATTTCAATAATTTCTCTTTATCTGCAACAAATTTAATTCATAATTTCAAAATTCTAATCTCTACTTTGGCTTACACAGAATCTGGTTTTGAATGGTATCAAGTACTTTAGAGCTTACTTGGTTATACGACACCACGTGTTATGTTCATATTGGTTGTTAAAAAATTCCATATTTTATATTTGTAATTGTTTTACTATTTGTTTTAGTGGGTACATGTCTTGTCACATGGGCAGTTTGGAGATATTTTACCAGAAGAAAAAGAAATTACAAAGCACATGTCAATAGCAGAGAGATTTTTATTGTAAACAACTCGGAGGAATGGGAGAAAATTAATACTCTACTAATGCAAGATTTAAAAAATGTGAAGGTTTGTATCAATGAAATTTTAAGAAAAAGAACAATTAACATTGACACTTTCATTACTTTAAAGGTAGATTTTAGTTGTTTTATTTTATTTCATCCATGTATTTAACTGTTATGTAAGCATAAAAGACAAAAAGTTAACGAGGTAATTTTAAGGATATTTCTAGCTCCTCAAAAATATGAAGATATTTATCATGGTCACTGTAAAATTTTATATGAAAACTATACAAAATAATACACTGCAGCATTTTTTTTTTTACTCATTGATAGCACATCAAGATTATAATAATTTTTATTTTATGTAAATGGTTGGAATTTTTAATAGAATTCAGAAAGTTTAAAAATCTCATTATGTTTGTAAGTTTATGAAATAATATTATAAATAATATATNTCTAGCTGTGTCTACGAGACAGTATATATATATATATATATATTATATATATATATATTATATATATATATAAGTGCCAATTAAAAGTGCCTTAACGTAGGTCAAGATTATTATTTTAAATTTTAAAGCTATTCTTAACAATGTAAATTAGTTTGAATGTCTTAACTATAGTAGTTGTTACCTTTTTTGGTGGTAAATATAAAATAAATTAGTCTGTCATAAATAACTTGTTTAGATAACAAATGCTGTCACAAACATCTCTTCACACAATATATTTAATTCTTGCTATGCCTTTATTTTGCAGGTTCTGGGTCTAGATTGTGAATGGGTCCTTAAACATAAAGTATCATTACTTCAACTAGCATCACCAACAAAAATATGTGTACTGATTAGGCTATTTCAAATGAATTTCATCTTTCCTAATTCTCTCAAGTCACTTTTGGCAGATCGAAGGTATTTATGTAAAATCATCACCTATAGTTTAAAAGCTAAAACTGCTTATTGAGATTGTAAAAAAATTTGAAGCACAGTATCAAAGAGTTTTTAAGAAAAATCAGCTGATTACCTATGCAGTACATTGTGTCATAAATCAAAAGTAAAGATTCACTCAGACTATGTCAAGAATTATTCAGGACACATTAAACAAACTTATTTTTGGAATAATCTGTTATTCATCAGTAGTGAATAAGTTCAGGGGTGAAATCGACAATTTTTATGATTAAAAAAAGATGTTCTTCTATTAAATTATTTTGTATTTATATGAGATTTTTAAAGAGGGGAATGGGCTTCGATGGTATCACTTCTAATTTATATTCCCTCAGTTTAGTGGTTAAAAAGTAAGAAATAACAAGTGTTAGTGTCATTAACTTTTACTATTATTTTGAATAAAAACAACACAAGTATATTGAAAGTTGGTGTGGCAGTGCTTGATGATAGCAAGAAATTGAATCAAGATTATGGACTAAAAGTTTCAGGCTGTGTGGATCTGAGACACATCCTGGGTAGAGTAAGGGGTGTTTTCCATTGGTGAGTTGAACTTTTTAAAAGGATGTTTTAAGTTTTTTAGATTTGTGTCAAAAGATATGCACAGAGTATTATATTTGATGAAGAACAATGCACCCATGATATTACTGAATGTGGCTGAATATGATGCTGCTATCAATTACAAAAAAATGTGGCGAATTATTCTCAGATGTTTTATATTTATAAAAAAAAAGGAATGCTTATTTTCTGCAGCAATGACATTAAAACTGAAATTTTAAAACTAGCAGCATGAAATACCTCCTAAAAAGTTGTTTAATAATTAGCATAAATATTACTATAATATTATGAAATTCCCATTTTTGTTATATACATGAACATACAGTTAATTTTTTGTCGCATTGATTTAGTCCTTCAAAAGGTTTACAAGGTCTTGCCAAAGGAATTTTAGATGTTGATATAAACAAGAGTTTTAAAATTCGTTGTGGAAACTGGGAAGCAGAAGACTATACAGAAGAACAGGTAGAAAAAAAAAACATCAGAAAGTTACACATTCATGTTTCCAAAAATACAAAGAAAAACTATTAATAAATGTGTATTAATAAGTATGCTTATTATTATTTATTTATTATTCTTTTGTTAGTAGTTTTGGAAATGGGAAAATAAAAATGGAAGAAAAAAAAAGTGGGGGTGGGGGCAATAATTGAGTGAAGTTTTAGAAATTAAATAAATCACTTGAATTATTATTTTATAATGAGTGAGATAATAGAATCTTTTCGTCTGACAAAACCATACATCACTTTAAATGAGCTCTTGAAGAAAACTTTTAAAAATAAAACTGATGCTATGGGGAAAAAAGGAAATTGATTAATAATTTTAAAATAACTTAATTGATTCAATTGATTGGAATATACAACAACTTAATAACTGTGTAATAAATAAGTAAAAATGTTTTTCATCCGTTGCTCAAATGTAACGAGAGTCCAGAAAATAAAATTTTGGGATCACTTCGTTATTTATCTTACATCCTTCAGATTTGGAAGGAAAAAAAAAACTGCTTAATTTTTACTTTTAATTGAGTATAAAGTTTATCTCACACCAACTATGCCTTGAATGACAAATATTTCAAAACTTTCATGGTTGATATCAGATAAAATGTATATTTTTGAACTTATATCTCAGATCATCTATGCTGCAACTGATGCTGCAGTGGCTGTGGATATATTTATGAAACTAGTCAACACAAAACGGAAATCTCCTAACCTGGCGTCTGATATGGTAACATACGGTAAAAGTGAAGAGCACATGACTTCAGCTGCTCCCAGTAACTGTAAACCTGTGACGACAATGTCATCAGAAGAGGATACGAGAGATCAAATTCAAGCTGTTGAGCAGGACGATTCTCTAATGGTAGAACTTGTAGAGGAAAGATGTAAGTACATTAATTGTACAGATATTTTGCATATTATTCAGTTTAAAAAAGGGGTGGGGTAATGCCATGATTTAATCAATTTTTAAAGTCAGCGGTTAAGTTTGTTTTCAGATTGAGGCTGCCTTGCAGTTCATTTTAATAAAGAGCAAATGATTTTATAAATAAGATTAAATAATATTCTTTTATTGATCCTAATAAATGGAAATGTGTTTGATTACATTGTACATATTGATCATTTAGCACTGGACAAATATGCTTGTGCATTGTTTATATTTGTTTGATATCTCTTTATTTATTGACATTCATATCTTATAATTTTGTAAGTAAGACAGGAAAATACTTTTGAAAAAGTGGCTTTGTCTTTGTGCCAAGGGCTTGTGGATTCGGAATATGCCACATCTAGGATAAATAAACTGGTAAGCTTCGTTATACAATTATGGATTAAATTAAATATTATTAAATTTGAGAAAAAAAATGACCCCCCAAAAATAATTATATTGCAGCTGCAAATAGTTAACATTCATTATTTCGTTTTTTAAAACTGTAATTTAAGCAGTTATTGCAAGAATTAGTATTTCTTTAGTAACAATAGCGCACTTGATAAATGCATCACCAGCATATAAATACTTCTTGATAGAGAGCGGGATAGAAAAAAGGCACCTTTTGAAAAAAAAATTGTTTTTTATTAAGAGAAAACACTTAATCTTGTGCAACCAGTAGCGAAAATGGAAGTTTTGATTTGTTATAAATTACAAAGCATAAATAAAACCAGAGTGCCTGGTGGCATGTTGAAGACATAATTAAATGATCTTTACAGGAATATTTTTCAGCAGCCGAATGCACAGAACCAGCCAAATGTACACAAGCAGCCAAAGCAGAAGAAAGAAAGCACTAATGCTTACAGTACCCGCCGCCGACCGCTCTGGGACAACTGTCGGCTGGAGGCCCCTGATGGAAGCGTATTGTGCACATGTGATAATAAAAAAGCCCAGTGGTATTTAGAGAAAGAGCTGGGTGGTTAGTAGAATTTTAATAACTAAGTTAATTTTTTTTTTTTATAGAATTGAAGCTTGCTTTGTCTGTGTTTTGAATTTGAAGTACTTGAGTGGTGCGTTTAAAAGGACTGACTCAATTTCTTATCATTTCTCATCATTTCATGAGATGTTAAACTCATGGTGGTAAGATAATATACCTTGCGTCCTTAGACCACAAAAGTGAAATGATTTCTTTACCCTAAACGTGCTTCATTTTTATTTTTTAACATCCCTATGTGTGTTAATTTTTTATTGTATAAAGATTTCAAGTTGAATAAGTCATGACACATATGCAATGTAAGGGCAACAAAAAAATTTTGGACGGTATGTTGAGATGTGAACAATGTAATGGGCATCAATCATCTGTTTTGTATCGGCACTCATGCCACGTGATTAAATAAATCTGACTTAAATGTAGCTTTTCTTTTTTTTTTTGCTGATGAATCAGTTTGAGAATCTTTATTTTGTTGCAGAAATAGTTTGCAATGATCCTTTGACAGTTCGCCTTCACTTTGAGCCGGCCAACCGACCACAGTCTGAAAACAACTACTACCTGCAGGAAAAAGAGAATGTCTGTGTTGTGTGCGGATATGAAAAGGATTATGTTCGCAAGTTTGTTATTCCATTTGAATACAGGAAGTAAGTTTTATGATGGATTGATATGTAGAGTAAATAAGGAAGGTTTGAGAGCAGTTGACATAATATAATGATAGTTTGAGAGCAGTTGACATAATATAATGATGGTTTGAGAGCAGTTGACATAATATAATGATGGTTTGAGAGCAGTTGACATAATATAATGATGGTTTGAGAGCCGTTGACATAATATACTGATGGTTTGAGAGCAGTTGACATAATATAATGATGGTTTGAGAGCCGTTGACATAATATAATGATGGTTTGAGAGCCGTTGACATACTATAATGATGGTTTGAGAGCAGTTGACATAATGTAAGGATGGTTTGAGAGCAGTTGACACAATATAATGATGGTTTGAGAGCAGTTGACATAATATAGTGATGTGTGAGAGTAGATGACATAATATAATGATAGTTTGAGAGCCGTTGACATAATATAATGATGGTTTGAGAGCAGTTGACATAATGTAAGGATGGTTTGAGAGCAGTTGACACAATATAATGATGGTTTGAGAGCAGTTGACATAATATAGTGATGTGTGAGAGTAGATGACATAATGTAATGATGGTTTGAGAGCCATTGACATAATATGATGATGGTTTGAGAGCAGTTGACATAATATAATGATGGTTTGAGAGCAGTTGACATAATATAATGATTGTTTGAGAGTATTGTAATTATTTGTTCCTCTACAAACTGATTGAGGCTTTAATATTTTGTGTAAGTAAAATGACTTCAATGAAGTAAAGGAGTCAATCCCAGTGGAGTTTTAACTTGTCATTTGAAATATTTGTGCTACTATTTAATCTGTTTTATCAAAAATAGTAAAATGTTTACCTTATATCACAGACCAAAAAATATTGACCTTATATCACAGATAGGAAAATGTTGACCTTATATCACAGATTGGAAAATGTTGATCGTATCACAGATAGGAAAATATTGACCTTATATCACATATTGGAAAATGTGGACCTTATATCACAGGAAAATGTTGACCATATATCACAGACAGGAAAATGTTGACCTTATATCACAGATTGGAAAATGTTGACCAAAAATGGAATAAAAAAACTTTTGACTAAAATAAACAACTGCTAATTTTCTTTGTAGGCCATTTCAAATGTATAACTTTATTCTGATTTATTCCATATCTTTGATCATCTGCCACTAGGTTTGCTCTCACTGAGGATCAACCAAATTTTTATTTTAAATTTATCTTTGGTTTGTTGGCTGTTGGTATTACATGTTTGATTAAAAAAGATTGAAAATTAAAAAACTCAAATTTTCCTATTTTTGTAGCACTATCAGGTATGGTAATATTGTCTTCCAGTGGTTGGCATTTTCTAACACGTCATTTTTTAAAATTAGGTTTTTCCCTGTCCTACTGAAGGACCACAGTTCTCATGATATCCTGCTGTTGTGTACGCCTTGTCACAAGAGGAGCTGTGACTTTGACATCACATTACGCCAGCAGCTGGCCCAGGAATGTAACGCACCATTAGAGTCAGGACCAGGGGCCAAGATGGTCCTTGACCATGACCTTCAGAAGGTCAGATCTGCTGCCAGGTGGGTGAAACTAGAGCTTTGATGCGTTTTTTGAAGGATGTAATATTCAACAGCTACCTTCCACATTTTGTTCAAATTAATGAGAAAATTGTAATACAGCTTCACAGAATAGAAGACAAATTCTACCAGTGAGCCCATTTTTTTATTTTGCTTTCTACTAATATTCATGGATTCTAGTATTCCTAATAGCTTTTGTCAACTGAGGAAGGTTTTTACCTGAAACATAATTTTCTTTGTTTTGACTCCACTTTTCTTGACTCCACTTTCTTTGTTTTGACTCCACTTTTCTTGACTCTACTTTTCTTTGTTTTGAATCCACTTTTTTTTACTCCACTTTTCTTTGTTTTGACACCAAGGAATAAAGCTCCATTCTAGCTCCATTCTGACCTTTCTCACTGATACTGTGGTAGTTTGTCTTTTAAATCTCAGCAGTCTTTCATCATGGGAACCTTCCAACTTCCCGTCTAACAATACACTACCTTTTATTTCTTTTTGTCTGTCACTTTTTAAAGGTATTTACAGCCAACAACATCCATCCACATCTCTTGCCAGATGCTTTCTGTTATTGCTTCATATTTTTGCCAGCATTCTCGGCATGTAGTTAGAGAGATGTTCTTGGGATATTTTTCCTTATCCTTGTCAGTTTGTCACTGTTTAATACAAAAAAAGTAGGCTTCATTTTCCCTTTGTCAGTTCATCAATATTAAACATTGCACAGTTGCAAGCTAAAGTAAAAATGATATCGTCAGCATATATGGACATAAATTAGATTAAAAAACCAATTTAAAAGCACCCCCAGTAAGAGTGATCCAGTGGCATTGTATCTATTACAGTGATCTTATCAAATCAAACAAGTTCAAAACTCTGCTGCTAGGCTTGTTCTTAAGGCAAAAAAACGCGATCACGTCACTCCACTACTCCACTCACTACATTGGCTCCCTATACAGGCACGCATTGACTACAAGCTGTCTCTTCTCTGTCACAACTTTTTCTCGGATTCCTGCCCTTCCTATCTAACTGAACTTCTTTCTGTCTATTCACCCCTTCGACAACTTCGCTCCTCCGCAGACTCGCGTATTCTGTCCGTTCCCAAGACACGCACTAAATTATATGGTGAACGATCTTTCTCTTTCTGCGCCCCCAAACAATGGAATTCTTTGCCACTACACATCCGCAATATAACAACCACACAGGCCTTCAAAACTGCACTCAAAACACATCTATTTAAACTATACTACTCTGACTGATTCTCCTCCTATAAACCGATAAACGTACATGGGTTTCCTTGTAAAAATGTCTGGTGTGGGTGGATGAATATACCTATGGTGTTGTTTTGCTTATATGTTGTTTTTATTTCATTTATGTATTTTATTTTAATATTATGATTGCTATATTTATGTACAGCGCGGTGAGCCCAGCCCTAGGCCGGGGTAACGCGCTATATAAGACCACTTATTATTATTATTATTATTATTAAATATTACAGTGAATCTTGTCTGCTCATTCCTTGAAATCAATTAATCCTTCATCAAGTTTATTGACTTATTTGAAAATAGAAAATGTCATTTGAATATTGAGTAAAGTTTTATGGTATTATTTTAATGTAATTTTTGTCTTAATTAAAACCCCTTCCTTCTAGTTCACAATCAACTTCGTCAAATTTTTCTGAAGCAAAAGTTTAAGAACGCATAGCAAAAAGGGGAAATAATGTTTTAAAATATTCTTAGCCAAACTATTTTAATTGTTGTCCCCCTTTCATATTCTATCCCCCACCAGAGCACTCAAAGTAAACAGACATTCCATCCCAGAGGCTAGAGTAAATGAGCTAGAGAAAGTGTTGACGGATTTCTATGGTGGTGATGAGCTGACGGAAGAACTTCTGGAACACGCTGCTGCTGTTGATGCAAGGTAGTTCTTAAATAATGAAATGAAACCCAGGATAGTACTCAAGTGAGCCCATCATCTTTTCAACCAACTTTGTGATTAAACAAAGAAGTAATTAATGCATCAAGTATTCTAGACTGGATCCTTTACCACAATGCATGATCAAACTTTTATAGTTTCAAAACACTTGTTGTTTTAATATAATGGAAAACGGTGTTAGTGCTGATTAATAACTTTTTTCATGGGCAAGGTGCAAATTTATGATTCAGGCTCTTGGGGATGTATTCAGTCTCTTATGTTCCCATATGTGGAATGTGCTCATGTGACCACATGTCTGTCTGACTATGTGTCAGAATGTCAATGTGGATTATGAGACTTGGATTTCTCATTTCAGGCAAACAGTCACAGACTTTGTGCCCCACGGGCGGCGTGTTGTAGAGCACATGTCACAGAATGGTGGACTGTTGGCATTCCAGGCCAGGTGGAGGCAACATTTCCTGGACACAATGAGGCCACAGTTCCTGCCTCCCTTCTGGTCTGTAGGTTACGTTCCTGATGGCTGGACTCAAAGACAGTCCTCATAGACACCCTGTTCCTGATGGCTCGACTCTTTGGCAGTCATAATAGACACCCTGTTCCTGATGGCTGGACTCAAAGACAGTCCTAATAGATACCCTGTTCCTTATGGTTGGACTCAAAGACAGTCAGAGTGGGCAACAATTTGGGTCAGTCATTGTAAATATTGTTTTTAAATGGTTAACGAGGGTAAATTTAAATAAAATAAACTGAAAAAAAAATTCTATAGAATACTGTGTGCATGATCTGGTGAACAAAGGGCAAGAGGAATGGGTCGATAAAAATTGATGATAGTAATAAAGGTATCTTTGTTCTTATGAAATTTTATTCTCTTTTTAGTCATTTCATATTTACCATGAGTGGTAAAATGAATTATTTTCAAATAAAAAAATAAAAAAATTGTGGTCCATTTATTGTTATGTCTGTAATTTAAATGGTGAGACTACAGCTATTGTGATGTCTGTAACTTAACTGGTGAGACTACAGCTGTTGTCATGTCTGTAATTTAACTGGTGAGACTACAGCTACTTTTATGAAGACAGTTTTCAATTCTGCACCTGGTCATCAGCTGTTTTTTGACTTATGAGCTGTTTTCTGACTTATCAGCTGTTTTCTGACTTATCAGCTGTTTTCTGACTTTGGGTGGCTGAGATTTATTTTTTACTCAGGGATTAACTCCTCTCCAAAAATAGCTTCATTGTCGGGCTAAGGAGCCCATTCCACCGGGATATTTACTCTATAGTTGGGAATGTGATTAGCTGGAAACTTATTAGAAAAATATTCTGACTACCGAATGCCAGTTGTAATCTGAATATGACACGCATTAAATTTTACCACTTTGCTAAACATTGTTTTTAATACAAATGCAACTAAAATATTACAACAATAATTTGTCTTGTTGATGTTTACAGAAGTCTTTTATTAGATTCCATCCCGTTATTTGGTAGCTGTCTTATAAGACATTTATGAAATGTCATGTCAGCAGTATGACGGGACAACCCAACCTGACCTTCTAATCACGTGACAGCACTCTTCTTAGAGTGTTAAGTAGCCATCAGTCTGACTGCACACAACTTTTGATGTAACAGTTATCCGGCTCCACTCGAAGCTTAAAATCAAGTAACTGACCAGACAACTTTTTAGGATAAGTAACATTGGCTGACTGCACACACAAAAGATTAAGTAACATCATCATTGTCTGACTGCACAACTTCTAAATTACCCGTAAGTAATATCGTCTGACAACACAGTTTTTAGCTTCAGTATCATTGCATGATTTCACAGATCTTTTTTAGGCCAGAGGATCTCAACCTTCCTAATGCCGCGAACCTTTAATATAGTGCCTCATGTTGTGGTGACCCCCCAATCATAAACCTATTTTCGTTGCTACTTTATAAATATCCGTTTCACGATGGACTTAGGTGACGCCTGTGTGAGGGTGGTTCGACGCCCAAACAGGTTGAGAACCACTGTTTTAGAACATTAGGTGACTGCAAGCAGCCTTAAAAAAGAGGTTACATTTGGCTGCACATATATATTTTTGCTCATACATTTGGCTACACATACACAATGCCGCTCATACATTTGGTGGCACATACACAATGCCGCTAATACTTTTAGCTGCACATACACAATGCCGCTCATACATTTCCACCACAAATATTTGATATTTAGTAACATTGCTGAAATAGGTATACATTATCTAACGGCACATATCTTTTAAAATTAACTAACATTGGCTGACGTCGGGTTGGAAACAGAAAACATTTCCAGCAGCTGTTTGTGTGACTTGACCGTTGCTGTCTTGGTGAGGGTGCTGACGTTCCTCACTGTCACCGTGCTGCCGGCACTGGGCCCGTCCGTCTTCGCGGCGTCACAGGCCGCATCGCTGACGCCTGGCATGTTTGGAGTAACCTTGTGTCCCTTTTCCTTGGTCCTGGCCTCCTCATCGGCTGCAGACTTGTGTTTTTGGGGTTTGAAATTGTGCCTCGCTGGCAGCCACGAGTTGTGAGGGTGCGACGAGGTAAAGATCTGCTTAAATTTTTTAAATTTGGATGGACCTTTCTCCCTTTTCTGCTGCTCCCCCCCGTCAGCTACTTTCGCCGAGTCCCCCGATTTTTCTGTGTTATTTAAAGTGCTGTTAGTGGACTGTGAAGCCAGGGCCCAGGACAACGGATTGTGTTTCTGCAGGTTGTCTCCGCTTTCACCCGAACACGATTTGCTGATCTCGTTCTGCATGAAGACCTTCCAGCAGTCCTCTACGGTTTTCACTTGCAAAGTTTTGAGCTCCTGGTCGAGTTTCGCCTCACACTTCGCTTTTTTCGCTTGCAGTTGTGTTTTGCCTCCGCACAGCACGTCTTCCTCATCCGCGGAAGCACGTGAGCTGTTTGGCTCTAGATTCTCCTTCGCCGGCAGAGTAACTTTAGTTCCGCTAGTAACATTTTTATCGGTTCCCCTTTTCAGATCCATCTTCTTTGTATTGTTTTTTAATTTTTCCCGATTTTGAGTTTCAATGTTTGCTGATCGGGGAAAGCTGTCGGCATCTCCGTGATTTAATACATGCTTGACATCCCGAGTAAAACCTTTCAACATGACATCCGATGTGTCCGCCTCTTCATTAAAACTATGCAGGCTTGTCACCTGCGAGGGCGACGTTTGATCCGGTGCTTCCTGCTGAGCCGCACAATCGCTTTCACATTGGCCAGAGTTGATTTTCGCCGTGACGCATTCCGGGGTTGTAGGATTTTTTCTATTATTCCCGCTGTCATCATAACTGTTGTGTACTTTCGAAGGAGGAGAGCTCCACGCCAGTTTTGGTTTGTCAAGCAGGAATGGAGTTTTATTCACATGTGTGATGTTCTCAAGAACCATATTTGGACCAAGTGCTCCGTTGTTCTTTCCCATTTTCGGTTTTAATTTTACACCCGTTTTCAGGGCGTCAGATTTTGTGCTTCTGATTGCTGGGCATGAAGAGCTTGTCTCCAGTGTGTCCACGTCTTCGATGAGAGCGCCGCCGGTGACCTCTGGTTGACGCGGTTTCAAATTAAGGACGTTCGAATCATTGTTTCGAGCCTTTTTGCCGCTGTTTAGTTCTCTGGTGGCAACTTCCGTTTTCCCTTTCGTATTTTGAGCCAGGTTTTCATCATGTGTAAAGGAGCTCACATAATTTTTATCCTCTCGACTCGTCTGGCTGCCGTCTTTCAAATTTCCTCCGGAGCTATTTGTCAGGCTCGTACTGGAATAACCCTGGTAAACACCTCCACACTTTCCCGTCCGGTTTGCAGACGACAGAGCTTTAATGATGATTTTGCATCGTCCAGATTTTTCACCTTCAGATGGTTTGGCTTGAATCACACAATCATTTGTGACCTCTTGGGAATTGAGATTTGGGGAAAACTTATTATCATGGCCACTTTCGCTTCCGGTTATAGCATTTTGTTCGATATCTTCATCCAGAACACGAACCTTGCTATTTTTGTGGGTGACCAATTTCTTCATATGCATCTTGGCACTCTGATAGAGCCTGATATTTTTCTTGGTTTGGATTTTGTCGCCCCTGACCGGCTTGGCGCCGTCATCCGTTTTTGTGTTGGTTTCAACCGCCATGTTGGGTTTCGAGTCTCCGGAGATTTCTGCCATCTTCTGATCACCCTCTTCCTCTGATGTGATGCTCGCGTGTAACGGATCGAACGTGTCACTTTTGAATGCATCGATCTGCTCTACTGCCTCAGCTTTGTTGTTCCCGACATTCTGTTTTTTGCCGGCGCCAGTGCTGTCTCCGAACACGTGGCATTTCGTCTTGCCGGACCACTGCTGGGTGGAGTTCTCATTCCGTTTGTGAACTGGGGCGTTACCGTCATGCCCGCCACGGCCGGACTGCCGTTTGTCCGGATTTTCTCCGTGACTGTTGGTGTGTACCGGACTGCCGTGATATTTTTCACCATTCTGACCTGGTGCGGTACCATTTTTGAGGGGCTGTGTGCCGCTTATCCTCTTATCGTCCTTTGAATTTGTTGTATCTTTCGCCCGGCCGTTGTTTGTAGACAAGCCTTTTGTTGATGATTTCCCATCACTGTGGCCGGAGCCATCTTTCGCCCCGGCGTTGTTGGTAAACAAGACTTTTGTTGATTTCCCATCACTGTGGCCGGAGCCATCTTTCGCCCCGGCGTTGTTGGTAGACAAGACTTTTGTTGATTTCCCATCACTGTGGCCGGAGCCATTTTTCGCGGAGGGCTTGGTTGTGATAACGTTCATCGTCTTACCATAAATACCTGCCATTGAAAACTTTTCTCCACTGTGTTTAGGATCCCCTCCATATCATTGCGACGTGGTTACATATAAGTTGATCGATTCTTGAAAATCAACTTGATTTAAACAAAAGATCATTAGCTGCCATCCACGGGTTTCGCTAACTTGGCACTTATCTGTAAAATAAAAGAAAGAAATTCATTTGGAACATGTGCATTAAGCATATTAAATCTGAGTTAATTATACATGTACGATCATAAATTAAATGTTGTTGGGAAAAAAAGGGAATTTTAAAATAAATGTTCCGGTTTGAAACATGCCATTTAAGTTTCAATGTATTTTCTAACATTTACTTTGGGAATACTAGTCTTTTTTTTGTGTGTAAATTATTTTATCTTTAGTTTGTTATCTCGCCTAATTGGCAAGGCGATAGAAAAATAATTGTAAAAAAACAATGGGAGTAACAGAACTTTCTTGAAATGTTTAAATGTTTTCTTTTAGTTACCTCCCTTAGAACGATACACTTTGTCAGTGCGAAATGTGAAATGCTTCAAAATCGTCATTATTACAACTACAACACACAAATAGACCGGTACAGCTCCCTCCCCCGGGCAACCACCATTTTGAAGGTGTTGCACACATCATTATTTCAACGTTTGTTTGAGTGGAATATCAACAAGGAGCTTTTTAACAGATTATATAATGCAGGCCTTTCAACAGATTTATATAATGCCGACATTTCAACAGATTATATAATGCAGACCTTTCAACAGATTATATAGTGCAGACCTTTCAACAGATTAAATAATGCAAGCCTTATAACAGATTATATAATGCAAGCTTTTCAACAGATTATAATGCAAGCCTTTCAACAGATTATATAATGCAGACCTTTCAACACATAATGTAATGCAAGCTTTACAACGGATAATATAATGCATACCTTTCAACAAATTAGATTATATAATGTTTGCTTTTCAACAAATTGTATAATGCAAGATTGTGTAATGCAAGCCTTTCAACAGGT